GGACAGTCTCTAGACTACCCACGGAGGGACAGTCTCTAGACTACCCACGGAGGGACAGTCTCTAGACTACCCATCAGTGAAAACTGAATGCATATGATTGTGGTGATGGATTATTAAGTGCAGTGACACTTTTTATTTATTTTACAAACTGCTTGGTTTTGTTTTTCCTTTTTAACTTAGGCTACTGCTGTGCCATCTAACATCCAAGGGATCCGGAGTATCCTTCAGTGGTAAAACTGTTTAAACTGGAATGTTCCTTCAAAGAACTTTGCCTTCCTGTTGTGTAACAAGTTAGGCCATAGAGACAAGTAGCCACAGTCTTCTTGCTAGGGCTCTCGGGAGCTCCCTGTGAAGTAGGTCCAGCACCTGTATACCTGAGTGAATACAGATATTGGGAGGTAAACTAAAAACTTTTTCCGTAGCTGCTTTTGAGTTGAGGCATACGCTGCTGTCACGTAGCAGGTGACTAAGCCTGGAGACTGTGACTGGAGTTTCTCAGCCTTAGCTCCACAGATCTGATGACAGATGCGAAGTTTCTGTTAATAGTAGAGAAGGATGCGACATTTCAACGGCTCCTGGACGACAACTTCTGCAGCAGATCCCCATGCATCATGGTCACGGTAGGACTTCTGCCAACATCTGTGCACCATGTCCCTGTCCAGTATAATGCACCACCTAGTCTCACAGTGCAGAAGTGCCCAAGTTACTTAGACATCCTTAAATCCAGCTCAAGTTCAGATGGGTCTCTATTCTTAAAAACAGCAGTTTCCCCAGACAGGCTTTGTTTTCTTGCTCCTCTGTGTCTCCCTCACACATTCCTGCACAGTGTTGCTCCAGAGCTGGGCAACTGACAGTGCTTGCTGCTCTTCACACGAGTTTGTATTCCAGGTGATTCACTGGAGCTTTCCCTTTTCACAACACATGTGCAGGAATAGTGAGGGGTGTAGGTGGTGTTGTGACACCAGTGGGCCCACAGAATGGCTCAGCCAAAGGCAGTATCTCAGCCAGCAAGAACCACCAGAAATGCAGCAGGCTGAGTAACTGAAGCAACATGGGTGCTTCTCAAAGTTCTGCATCCTGGGGTCAAGACTAGCGTGTTAGTTGATTCTCTATCTGCAAAGGGCAGACCACTTCCTGATCACAAAGAAGCTATCTTCTCATTGAGTGTTCACGTGGAAGAAAGAGCAAGACTGAGACAGGAAAGAGCCTTTCTGGAGTCCCTCACATAAGGGCTCATATCCCATTCAGGGGAGTCCATCCTGCTGTTCTCTACCCCAAAGTCTCACCTCCACATCTAAGGGTAGGGTTCTGACATGAACTTATTGGTACTGACAAGTGTATTGGTCCATTGTGGGCAGTTAGCTTCCTGTGGCATGACAATGTGGTGAGAAATCACAGAAACTGGCTTCAGGAGGGAAGAAAGATTGGGGTGCACACAAATGGGCGCTGCAGATCAAGCTCCCCTCTTCTGAGATCTCTCCACATCTGCCTTTACATAGCTGTAGAAAATCCACTCCTTGGAGAAGAAAGCTGTTTAGAGTCCTGTGATTTGTTAGAGTGACCGGAATGCAGCCTTAGCATAGCCAGGAGAGAGTCTGAGGAGGAGGTGTCAGGCAGCACCTTGTAAGCCTGACTAGTCTTGACCAAAAAGACAGACTCACAGGAGGCTTTGCGTCCTTGTCTTTATATAGCAGCCTGCAGGTCAGATGGCTTATCTCAGTGTGAGGATGAGGGTGGGGACTGAAGGAAGGACACTTAAGGAGGACTAGGTGACTCCTGATTGTGGGGAACAAGTCTATGTGGCTCTGACCTTTGGCTTCTTGCTTCAACATCACCACTAAGAACCAGAGGACAGACACAAGCACTCAGCTCTTTATGAGAGAAGTTCCAAGTGTGATTTTGGCATGGACTCTTGGGGTAATGGCAGAAAATCCTAGTGGCATCTGCTTAAGTGGAAGAGCCAAGAGGCAATATAGAGGGGAAAGGACAATTTCAGTGTCTGGTCTGTCTTTCCTTGTATCGTCTGGGTCCCAGTGACTGAACTCAGGTCATCGGGCTTTCTCTGCTGAGCCATCTCACTGGCTCTCCCTATGCCCTTTTAAATAACACTGTGGTGAGTTTAAGTGTGTGATCTTTAAGTGTGGAGGGACTTTATTATTTCTGCTGATGATGAAATGTTTCCATGGAGTGGGGTCTTCAAATAGGTATACTGGAAGTAGAGGTGTGAATATATATGGCTCTTCCTGTTGCACATTGTACATTTTCCTCACAGTCACCACTAGACTCCCCCTCCTGGAAGTCAGGGTGGGGGTATCACTTGTCAGTGTTGATAAAAGGTAGGCAGAATGTACCCAGGTTCTCCACAGCCACAATGCCTGACTCTGTCTGCTTTCAGGGAAAGGGCATTCCAGATCTGAACACAAGGCTCCTGGTGAAGAAGCTGTGGGACACATTTCATCTTCCTGTTTTCACACTGGTAGATGCCGATCCCCATGGTAATCTCTCCTGGACTATTTGGTACAACTGCTGTAACTAAATCATACTTGTGGTTATGTTTTTCTGCTCTTAGAACATTTGCACAGCGTGTTGGATGGGCCAGGGGATAACTCAGTGCTGTGGTACTTGCATGATGTCCTAGGCTCAATCTCCAGCATGGTAATCAGTAGAGAAATAAATCAAAGGGACTGTTAATATTGTCAAATTAAAGGCTATAATCATTTAAGGTAATGTTTAACATGAAACTTAGAACATAAGTTTTCATTGGTAATGTTCATAAAAATAAAGATTTTAGATGTTAGATAAAATTTGAGAGTGCAGATTCCATAGCTGCAGCCTGAGTCTAATCTTCAAGCTCACTCTCAACAGGCATCGAGATAATGTGCATCTACAAGTACGGGTCCATGGTGAGTACAGAAAAGAGTATCTGCTCTTCTCCACCATCTCTGCTCTTCTCCACAATGTGTTTTACATTAACTGGGGTTTACTTACAACCCTAGTAAGCCAAGGCTCTCCAGAATGTTCCAGGGGAAATGGTGATCTCTTTGATAGCCAATCTATGCTTCACTGGTGTGAGTCCCGCCCCTAGAATGCACCGCTACTCAAGGTAACCCAAGGACGAGCAATCCTGCCTGTTCTGCTCCTAAAGAGCATCAGATAGACCATAAATGTCACATGCAGCTTCCAGTTTTGACCTTGCCACTGCAACTCCCACAATGACAGAAGGGAAAGCATCAAGTTCACCCTGGAACCTATGGTGACCAAATTCCACACTTGAGAACCTGCAGAGCTACAAATCCTGGTTCCCTTTAAACCCACTGAACCTGCATCTCCCAATGAGCTGGAAACCCAGCCAACTTCTTACAGAGGGGTGGCAGAGCAGGGAGGGAGGAAGTGAATGCAGGTGAGATTAATAAAGCAATGGTTCAGAGCACCTCACCCTGCTGCCAGAATAGAAAGTCAGGGCTCCACCCAGCTCACCTGACACAGCTCTGCTCTTTACCTCAGTCCATGTCCTTCGAAGCCCACAGTCTTACCGTCCCAGCTATCAGATGGCTTGGTCTCCTTCCTTCTGATATTAAAAGGTAAGGAGTCTCATTGTAGTGTGTATGACATGCCTGATGTCACTAGAAAAGCACTTTCTGTCTGTAGTTATAATGTAAATTTCTTGAGGTTTCTGTTATTTACATACTTAATGAAGGCTGGGCATGATGGCACATGCCTTTAATTCCAGCACTTGGGGGATAGAGGCAGGCAGGTTTCTGTGGTTTTGAGACCAGCCTTGTCTACATAGAGAGTTCCAGGACAGCCATCACTGTTATACATCAAGAGGCCCTGTCTCCAGAAACAAAAAACAAACAAACAAAAAAACCCAAAAACTCAATGGATTATGCTGGGCAGTGGTGGCACACACTTTTAATCCCAGTATTTGGGAGTCAGAGGCAGGCAGATCTCTGTGAATTTGAAGCCAGGCTGGTCTTCAGAACTAGTTCCAGGACAGCCAGAGATACATAGAGAAACCATGTCTCAAAAAACAAACAAAACAAACTCAATCAATTTAGTTAATTTTACTTTCAGCTAGCTACAATTATTTTTACAATTATGGTTAAACCTTTGTACAAGTTTTTTTTGGTATTTAAAAGGATAATACATGGAGATGCATGACAATATACTTGTAATCCTGAGCTCAGGGGACTGAGCCAGAGGCCAGCCTGAGCTCCAGGTGAGACTCTCCCTCACAAACAGATAATACTTGTGATTCCAGGTGTGCAATTAAATTTCAGTCCTGATCTTGAACATTCTAATAACTTCACAGAGTGATTCCATCTTAATATCAGAGTTTGGGAACTTCCAGCACTTAAAGTTAATGGTCATTTGAGGCAGAGCAGTCCTAGGTGACCGGTGATTTTCTGCCCTCAACTATGACCTTTACCCAAAAACCTCAAGATCCTTAACTGTTTCTTTGTCTTCTGGTTTTTGCATACAACACAACGTGATCACTTCTTTGGCTTGTTACTAATAAATACATTTCTCTCCTGTGGACCTCATGGTAACAGCTCCTGCTCCTGAGTTTCCACTGTCCCGTGCCAGCATTCGTTCAGGCCATTCCTCATAGCTGTTCTGCAGAAATTGTAGATGACAGGCAGATCAAAGGGTCCTCTGAATTAACATAGTCTCTGAGGATTCCCAGAGACATGGTGGGTCAAAGTGTATGTGAGTTTGAGGCTTCCCCTGTATTCAATAGGGTCCTTGTTATGTTCTCTCTAGAGAGTGGGCCACCTGGTCCTCACCATGGGGGAACACTGCTTTTCAAATACTTGTAAAAATATCTAATTATGTACAGGTACTAGGTGATATGAACGTGTGAGTGCAGGTACTCACAAAGGACTAAAGCCTTGGGACCCCTGAGCTGGAGTTACAGGCAGTTGTGAGCTATTCAGCACGGATGCTGTAATCAAACTTGGCTTCTCTGCAAGAGCAGAATGCACTCTTAACCACTGAGCCATCCCTTCCACCCCTCAAATACCCTCTTGCTATCTATTCTCCTTTCCCTGGGTGAGGAACTTGAGTGTGTGTGTGTGTGTGTGCGTGGGCTTTCCTGAGGCAGTGGGCTGTCTTGGGTGTAGATGCTGATTTCCCAAACATGGGGGCCATGAAGCTATGAGCTGAGTAGGAAGATAACCTTCCTCATAGAGTTTCGAATTCTTCCATAGAAGGAAGCAAAGTTTAAACCAATGTGGTCACTTGTCATGGCCATGATCCTTTGGTGTGACCTCTTTGTACAAACACAGATTTGGACAACAAGCCTTGTAGCACAAATTCTAATTGTTCTTAATAATGAAAACCAGAGTCAGATGTTAGGGGGTGAAAGTTGAGAGATCAGAGAAGCAGTGCAGCCAGCCACTAGAGAGACCTTTCACCTCTATTGAATCCCCAGCTGAAGGGAAGATTCTGTCTATGAATCCTCAGACTGCATCTGTCTCTACAAATCCTCGGACTATGAAGAGCTCCAGTCTCCTCCCACCTTCTATTCATTCCTCTCCTCCCAGCCATATCACTCCTGTCTCCACTTCACTAGTGCTGGGATTAAAGGTGTGGAATCTCAAGTGCTGGGATCACCTTTGTGTGAGCTCTGTTTTGCTTTTAGACAGATTCAACCTAGTGTAACCAAGGTGGCCTTGAACTAACAGAGATCCCTCTGCCTCTGTAAGGTGTGTGCCACCACTCCCTGTCCCACACGGCTGACTAGTGGCTTAGCTCTGCATTCTGATCTTCAGGCAACCTTTATTTGTTAGATTACAAACAAAATATCACTACAAAACCTCATGGCTTTTAAGGCAGAGGTCTTGGAGGAACTCCAGCTGTGTCTTGTAAACCACTCTGGTGTCCTTAGAGCTACTCCAGAGATATATGTGATCAAAGGAAAGAGACTGCGAGGAGCAGCGCTGGATTCCCTCTGTCAGCCAGCCAGGAACTAATTATGGGGACACTGAGGACCGCTGAAATTAGTGTTTACCTGGGGACCTCGGACTTGACTTCAAGAGCACATTACACCATAAACCCAGATCTCTCTACTGTTTTCAGACTTCGAACTAGATAAAGTGTGCATCCCGAGTAAGAAAATAATAGAATACACATCCTCAATACTGGCTTAGTAGGCAGTCACTTCCTGATTTCTAAGTGTCAGCCACTGGCCACTTCTGCTGGAGCTACAGCTGCAGGATAAGCTGTGACTTGTCCATGCCAGCTCTGCTCAGTGTGCCTACGCCAGTGCTTTGTTTAACAGCCAGCGTCTGTCTGTCTGTTATCATCTCAGAGGTGAGGAGGGAGAGGAAGGACAGAATCTGTTTCTATGACAACACAAACTTCTGCTTTGAACTTGGAAAACCCCCTGACCTATGTCACAGAGCCCCAGATGCTGGGATTGGGGAGGAGCGCTGGACTGATTTTCTCACTTGTTTTTCTTTCTTTTCTTTTCTCTTCTCTTCTTTTCCTTTCTTTCTTTCTTTCTTTCTTTCTTTCTTTCTTTCTCCCTTTCTTCCTTCCTTCCTTCCTTTCTTCCTTTCTTTTCTTTCTTCAGCTTTAGAGTCTGTCCTAGAACTTGCTCTGTAGACCAGGCTGGCCTCAGACTCACAGAGATCTGCCTGCCTCTGCCTCCCGAGTGCTGTGATTAAAGGGGTGTGCCACCACTACCCAGTCTCTCTTGTTTTTCTTAGTTTGTTGACATAACATAAATACAGACATGATTACAGAAACATTCTGTCCACTCCCGTCCGATTTTTTTCCAGGTTAAATATACCGAAGGATAGTTTGATTCCACTGACAAAGCATGACCAGATGAAACTGGACAGTATCCTGAGGAGGCCTTATATCAGCTGTCAGCCCTTCTGGAGAAAAGAGGTAGATGGTGTGCTTCAGAAAAGGCAAACATTACGTGCTTTCCTTCTTTTTGTTATAGTGGTACTTTCAGCACATCTGTGAACTTCTGTTTTATTTTTATTACTGTTACTGATTTTTAACTAATGTTTTCAGGTAGTGTATAAGATGATTTTATTATTGCATTTCTTGCATATATGTCATGGTACTTTGTTCATTTCCCCTGCCCCCACCCCTGCAGGTCATCCCTGCTAGCAGGTCCTGTTCCAAACCCAAACCAAACATGGCCCGCCTTCTGCTTTCACACATACATATATGTTAAACCTAGAGTCTACATATAAGAGAAGACGTGCAGCACTTTGTCTTTTCCTTCTCTGTTACCTGCTCTTGTTCTCCCTCCCCTCCCTAGTTAGAACCTCCCTCCCCCACATAGTACCTTTTCTACATTCATGTCCTACCTGCATATATTTAAGTCTAGATTCTGTACATGGAAGAAAGCACGCAATTTGTCCTCCTGAATCTAACTTACTTCCCTGAAGTTCTATATGACCAACAACTGATACCAATGCAATTTGACAATCACAGTTTGTTGAAACTGCATCTCAAATAGTGCTAACAGGTCAGCAGGGTGAAGACTTCTGTCTTTCCTCCATGGTTATGTCACTTTATCAGTGATGGTATTGCAGTTTATGGGATAAAAGAAAGAAAGAACTCATAAAAGTCCCAGAACAAAAGCACCTAGTTGTGAGGCCTGATCTTACAGTCTTGACCAGTAGCTACTCACATGTTCTAGCAGTCCTGGAGACAGCCTAGCCTGTGGTTCCTGACAGACGCTGGTAACACTGTGGTACCTTCTGGCAGATGGAGATGATGGCAGAATCTAAGATGAAAGCAGAGATCCAAGCCTTGACCTTCCTGTCGTCAGACTATCTTTCCAGAGTGTACTTACCCAACAAGCTGAGGTTTGGAGGATGGACATAAGATTGTAGCGGGCGGTGTGTACGTATCACAGCTTTTCATCTGCTTGTTTGAACTGCAAACACTGGTTGAAGGAGTACCTTATCTCAGTGCTGCAATGGTAAAAATAATTTTACATTAATATGGTTGTCAAAGCAGACTCCATAATGCTCTTTAGAATGTTTGATCTGTTGTAAAGACAGATTCTTATTCTATGTTCTAGAGTGATTATAAAATAATTTAATTTTAAAATTTTATTAGAAAAACTGTTACATATGAATGTCTATAAAATATTTATTTCTGCTGGGCGGTGGTGACACATACCTTTAATCCCAGCCCTCGGGGGGCAAAGGCAGGTGGATCTCTGAGTTCAAAGTCAGCCTGGTCTACAGAGTGAGTTCCAGGACAGCCAGAACTACACAGAGAAACCCTGTCTCCAAAACCAAAAAAAAAAAAAAAATTACTTCCTGCAACTGCTGTAGATATGAAGTGTCTTACTAGCAACAAAAATAGCAATCAAAACTCAAGAGGTTGCAAAGAAATTACATGATATTTTTCTCTTGTACTTTCTTTTGCTTCATGGTATAGGGACCTTGATGTACCTACGAAACTAGTAAAGTTTATTATAAACAAGTATTCAAGTTGGTGTGTGTCCCGTGCCTTGTTGTACTCATTTCCAGTGTGCTTCTCTACCTACTGCACTGTACCTGAACCTGCTTCCCAGCCACACAATGTTGCCCACAGCAAGGCATCTGGATTCCTCTTTGTTCTCTGGGTTCTAAGATTGCCTGCAGTGAGAGTTCTCTTACAGTAGGCTGTGCTCTCACCTCCTCTAGCTATACCTTAATTTTGTCAGAAGTAACCTTTATAGTCTCAGTGCAATGCATCCTAAGGAAAGAGAAGCTTCAACTGTCTGCAAGCCTGTACACTTCCAGAAGGATGCAAACGTTGCTGAGTTTCTAAGGCTCAGCTGCAGCTGATATAATAGGTCCAATTCTGCGTGTGTGTGTGTGTGTGTGTGTGTGTGTGTGTGTGTTGCCACTGTGTACACATGATCTCACTTTATTCTCCCAGTAAAGACTCTGGTTTGCAGGTGAGAGCTCTGAAGGTGTTATTTGTCCAAAGCCACAATAGCATTAGGACACAAGAATACCAACTACCCTGTTGGACAAATAACAGAATATGCAGGGCCTACAGAGAAATGGAGAAGGCAGCCCTTGTTCAGAGTTAAGAATTATAAGACAGCAGCAACAGAGAATTCAACTGAGCCAGGTCTCCCATAACTACAGGTTACATAGCCATGATACTGGCCCTGCCCAGAAGCTGGTAGTAAAGATTAAATGAGGCAATATGACAATCAATATGTATCACACAAGAGGCATTTTTCTAGGGGCTTCCCAAATGCTGACTCATCTCACCCTGTAAAGCTCCTTTCTCACCACCCTACTTTACATATGAGGAAATGAAGGCATAGGGAAGTTTAATAACTGACTGTCCCATGTCCACAGATAAATAAGTCATGGAACCTAAACTTCACCTTGAGTCTAGAGACTTCTGGGGACATAGAATATGCTTCCCAAGTGTTCTGCATGCATACTGCCAGGGCAAGGTCTAAGGCATGTGCTAAATCAAAGCCCTGATGTTATGCCTATGGCATCAGATGGCCCCTGGACACACGGGATGATGTCATACCTATGGCACTGAGATAGCCCCTGGACATACAGGATACCGAAAATTTTGTTTCAAGAACATTTTAATAAGATGTTGATTTGACTTTCTTGTGAGACTTATCAAAAATTATTTAAAGCTTTTCTAAATTACTAATGTTTTCCTTAAATTTATACACACAATACCAACATGCAATAAAGTTACTGAATTTTGATAAGCTAAAAAGAAAATACAAGTAAAAAATATTTAACCCACAGAACATCTGGGTTAGGCTATATTGTCAAAATGAGAGGGAAATACAAGACTACAGTAGTCATGAAAATTTGGAAATAAACTTAAAAATAGCTTGCAGATCTATTCAGTTCGTCTAATTAAATTATCTAAAGTTTATGACTGGAAATTTTCTTAAAATAATTTCCTATTATTTGGGAAATGGAAGATCAGTCACACTGAAGTTGGCTATCCTACCCACCTTTATTAGATGCAGATGAGAAATTGGTGCTAAAGTTTTGGGAACTATCTAGAATTGTAACTTACAATATTTGCTTTCAGAACAGATTACTGCACAATAGCTCTTTCAAATGGCAGCTGGCAACAGACATGCCCTCAAGGTACCAGCATCTCCTGGACCCATGTGGAAGAACACAGGACTGGAATCTGTTTGTAGTTAGGGTGTGTAGGCACAAGTACCACAAAGTATGTTCTGAGACTCTTGGTTTTTCCTTAAGGGCTCGTAATGACCCTCATTTTTAAAAAAAAAAAAACTGCAACATCCCATTTTCTGGGAAATTGAATTGTCATTATTGGTGATGTTAAGTGATTTCAGAAGTCATGGTTTCATAGGGATTGGGAACAAGTAGTGCACATGGTACAGAAATAGGGCAAATCCTCTAGATGTGCTTCATCTAGCTTCCTTCAGGCCTCCTGGTTGACTGTCAGGCCAGTATCTGTCAGGTGCTGCTGGAGAGAACAGACACTCTGAAAACCACGCCACGTGTGTACAGCAACACTGATGCTGGGGTATCTGCAGAAGGAAGTGTGGAGCAACACTGACTTCTGCCCCAAACAGGTTGTCCGAGGTGTCCTCTGCTGCCCTCTGCTGGCCAAAGCTTGTTGGGCATGTAAATCTTTCTCATGAGTGGGAATTTTCTTAACATTTCCAAGTCACGTTTTAAAAGGCTAGATGAAAACATGTGAGACTCGTAAACAGAAGATGTGGGAAGCCAGGAGGCCCTCTGGTGAGTCCTTCCGAGGCCTCATGAGCTAATCTGTTCTGGGCCCCCCCTCCCAAGAGTCTGAGCTTGGCCGCCAACTGCTTGCAAACCTTAAGCCAGCCTATGAGAACTTACCAATAAAAATGTCAAAATTAAGTATCATTTAAGTTGAAAAATTAGCTAAAACTAAGCTTATAAGCACATCTAGTCTCTTGGAAGTGCACTATAAACTTCACTCCGGCCTGAGTTTTCTCCTGAGACGTCTCCAATGTGGGTGATAGTCACAGCCAAAATTTCAGATTTTTATGTGAGGTTTTTTTTTTTTTTGGCTTGGTTTTGTTTTGCTTTTCCTAGAAAGAGTTTCCCAGTGTATCCCTGGCTGTCCTAGAATTCACTCTGCAGACCAGGCTGGGCTTGAACTCAGAGATCTGCTTGCTCTGCCTCCCTAGTGCAGGGATTAGAGGCATGTGCCATCACCACCCAGCTTTCTATGAGTTTTTACCCATACTGAGTACACAGATGATTGCTCTCCCTTTGGTGTTTAGGCTTGGGGAAGAGGCAATACTGCCTCTCGTGTGCAGGCAGGCTTTGAGGTTCCCTTCACTCACTGCCTCTATGTATGTGGTGGTGGTGAGGATGCTCTAATCTCGTCTATCTCACAGCCACGATGGAGTAGGGCGATAATGATGATGAAGTCCATAGGAGCATTGTGAAGATGGAGTGAGTATTCACGTGAAGTGTGTGTCTGTATGATGTAGTTTAGACACAGACACGAAGTGTGAGCTGCCGGGGTTGGGTAAGCCATTGCTCTTGGTGTACTGATGGGGCGTGCAACACGGCCAGTCCGTAAACAGCAGGGTTCTTGGCTGTATCTCAAATTATCTGGGGAGATGTAATAAAATAATTTCTGAATTTCACCCGAGACCTACCAAATCAAGAGTTCTCTGAGTGGAATCCAGGAATGAAGTTTTGTTTGTTTGTTTGTTTGTTTGTTTTTTGGGGTTTTTGGTTTTTTTATGTTCCCAGGGATTCTAACAGCCTGATTGTGCTCTTTGGTGGGGTTTTGGGTCCTGGTTTATGCTCCTCACTGGGGTCCTGGGTCCTGGTTTATACTCCTTGGTTGGGTCTTGGGTCCTGGTTTATGCTCCTTGGTGGGGTCCTGGGTCCTGGTTTATACTCCTTGGTTGGGTCTTGGGTCCTGGTTTATGCTCCTTGGTGGGGTTTTGGGTTCTGGTTTATGCTCCTTGATGGGGTCGTGGGTCCTGGTTGAGCTCCTCAATGGGGTCTTGGGTCCAAACACTGCAGCCACAAGGTAGAAATATGGGTTCTCGACCCACCCTATAGCTGTTGAGCCTACAGTTTTCAAAATCGCATGACTCTAAAGCTCTATGAGAAGATCATGGAGCAAGCGGACCCAGGACACTCACAGCAGCCTCACAGTGCTAAACAGCTCCATGGTGAGCAACAGGTTTTGGGGATGCTGGAATTAGAGCCTTCTTCAGAGTCAGCAGCCTGTGAAACAAAGGGCTGAGGCGTCCAAGGTTAGGGAATGTTACGATTGAGGATCCACCTGATAGGATTTCCCAAGTTGCCTGAAAGATCATTAGTAACTATTTGGAACTGGCTCCATAGACCGCAAAATTCCATGGCTTAGTGTTTCTATTGCTATGATAAACACCATGAGCAAAGCAACTTGAGGAGGAAAGGGGTTTCCTGGCAAACACTTCCACATCACTGTTCATCATCAAAGGAAGTCAGGACAATAACTCAACCAGGGCAAGAATCTGGAGGCAGGAGCTGATGTAGAGGCCACAGAGGAGTGCTGATTACTGACTTGTTCATGGTTTTCTCAGCCTACTTTCTTATAGAATCTAAGACCACCAGCCCAGGGTGGAACCACCCTCACAAGGGGCTGGTCCTTCCCCCATCAATCACTAATTAAAACAATGCCCTACAGGCTTACATACAGCCTAATTGATCTCAAGGAGGCATTTTCTTAATTGAGGTTCCCTCCTCTCAGAGGACTTTAACTGGTGTCAAGTTGACATAACCTACCTAGCACACCCCATAGACCATTGCATAGCACTGCAAGGACCTTGCCCTGAAGGAAGCTGTCTCTTTGGCCCTGTCATCTGCGCTCAT